CGACGTGGGACTCGATCCCGGGACTCCAGGATCATGACCTGAGCCAAAGGCAGTCGCTTAACCAACTGAGCCACCCAGGCGCCCTGTGGCAGTTTTTTTTAAGGCTGCAAGAGGAATCCAATCCACTCCCATTTTGCAGAGACACCCAAAGCTCAGAAAGCTCTGGGGAACTTGCTCACGGACCACAGGTAGTAAGTACAAAGCAGGATTTGGGCTCCAGTGGTCTGACTCCAAAGCCTGTGCCCACACCCTCCCATGTTCCACTCCAGCTGATGGAATATTCACATAGACCCAGTGTTAGCATCACATTAGGAATCCAAATTCTGAAGAGGCTAAGAGTTGCTTTTCTCAACTACTCAAGGTGGATAAAACCAACCTAGTAACCATCGATCTGTCCATCCATCATTCCACAAAAATTCATGGGAGCCACTACTGAACCAACTTAATCCTTCCTGCCATCCTCTGCTATGTGAGAATTTACAATCTCTTGGTGGAGGAAAAAAACTGTGAAGGTGCAGCTTCAAGCACGGTTGGGCAAGGGTGGCTGAGCAGCAATGAAGAGACCTCCATTGCAAGGCCAGTTGAGCCTGCCTTGCCAACGGCCCGGACCTGTGACAGTCACAGAAGCAGCTGAGCTGACTGAACGTTACCGTCAAGGAGTGGGGTCATGCTGTGCACTGCCCAAGCCTGCGGGCCCTGGGAGAAAAGCGGCATGTACCGGGCACAGACTCATTAAGTGGCTGCCGACTGCCTGCTTGGGATCCTCTCTCTAATCAGACAGTGCAGTTCTTCTACCCCAACCAGGAACCTGGGCAGAGATTGCCATTCCATGGGTTCCAGCCCAACCTGCTGCCTGCCTTTCGAACCAGCCCTCGTCTGATGGCTGGGAAAACAGGAGGGTGCATATCTACAGGACAAAGCTAAAACAAATTCTATTTCAAATACAACTAAAAGAGTCTCCCCTGAGAGAGGTCCTTTAACTACATTTCATTGAAGTGGGAGAGATTTTTTAAAAGACAAGGGAGACAATATCTAACAACTAGCTATTTCTCTATTCTGTATCTTCTCAGTAAGCATTTTACCTTAAAAAGCCCAATCCACATGTGTTTCAAATGCACAGCCCATTAAAAGTGAAATCATTAGAGACAGATCTGAGGGATGAGAAGTCATGCCAGCCAACATGCAAAGACCCCAAAAACAAGAACACATTATGAGAGAACCAAATCAGGGCCTTGAGGCCCCCCTCCTCTTCTCCAGAGGTTTTAAATAGAAAAGAGCTTCTTTTCATTATTTTCCTATGAGAATTGTCATTTCCAGGAAGCTCCACGGGTCTGGCATGATTCCCAGCTTCACCACACCCAAACAAACAACTTCACGAAGCTCATGAGTAAACTGCCGAGCCCCTTCATGTAGGTTGAGAGAAAATTTTGGAAGCAGGGCTGCTCCCAGCTTCGAGATGACCTCCTCAGGCCTGGCATCAGCACTGGGGGTCTCCAAAAACAGGAAGCTTTGCTCTCCACCTGGTAGAGAAATCTGACCCGTTTCCTAGGTCCCAGGCTCCCAGGGCCCCTGCCGTGACATGCTTGCCTACGCTGAATTTCGAACTGCATTGTTAAAATGAAGGATGGTACGTTCCATTTTAGCTCGGTAAATGTGCATATATATATGGAAGGACATTTTCACTGAATGTCCCTGGTATTATGTGAGTTGAAATGTTCTTTAGAAGAATTCCAACTTTGCTATTTTTTCAGAATCCTGTTTCAGAGTCATTATTGCAATCAGTGCCCCCTCCCCCAAGAGAAAAAGAGACAAACATTAAATATAATCACAGCACTGTCCCCCCCACAACTGCAAAAATACGTTCCAAGACCCCCAGTAAACGCCTGAAACCACGGACAGTACTGAACCTTGTATGTACTGTTTTTTCCTATACGTACATACCTCTGATAGTTTATAAATTAGGCACAGTAAGAAATTAACAAAATAGAACTATATACTATAATAAAAGTTATGTTAATCTGGTCTCTCAAAATACTGTCCTGTACTCACCCTTATGATGTAAAGGGATAAACTGCTCCATGAGATGAGGTGAATGACACGGTCATCGTGACGTCATGTCAGGCTGCTACTGACCTGATTGGACGTCAGGAAGGGGGAGAATCTGCTTCTGGACAGTAGCTGGCCCCAGGTAACAAACTCCGTGGCAGCGGGGGGCCGGGGGGGGGTAGTGGGACACAACTGCTACATATAGTTCTTGGCTTTATTTTTATTGTGAGCTTGGGGGTTGTGCTAGGCTATGGTCATTGATGCTGTAAGTGGCCACATCTGATTAAACCCAGCCTGTTGCATCAGGGTGAAGAAATGTATTTTCAAGGCATGTGGCAATTTTTTCTTGGGTGTAATCTGTTAAACACAGTACTGCTCTAAGAGGTCCCTGGGCTAGAAGTTGGAGCCAGAACCCATGGTTTTAAAAATCAGGAAAAGGTGCCTAAGAAGAATTTTTCATGGCAGAGGAGCTCAAGGTAAAGGACCCCATTTCTCCTGTAGGGTAGGAAGAGCTCTCCCCTGAAAACTACCAATACAAAGAGACAAAGAAGAGCTGGGTCTTTGGCCCTAAAAGTTTGCCCGTGTTTGAAAAAGGCCTTTCAGTTGGGGGAGAATTGCCTCTTCCGATACTCAGTGGTTTGATAAACCAGTCTCCCTGTAGAAATTGGGGTTCTGATTCTGCCCCATCCCCTGACAGGGAAGCGCCCTCCATGTGTTAACTTCCCCAGCCCTGCATCCAGAAGGGTCCCCAGGTCGGTGGGACACACCAACACATACTCCCTCCCTAGAGAGGGTGCTATGATGCACGTGGGACCTACTGCTAACCCTAAGGCTGGCCCTAGAACTTGGCAGGGGGCACTGGAGGATGGAGTCCAGAAAAAAATCCCACTCTCTCCAGCACCTGCTTGAATATCCTGAGGATAATGGGAACCCAGAACACATATGTGCATCATACACGTGTACGTCCGTAGCTGTGCAATATTCTTGTGATTTTCTGGTGGGGAAGGGGGTAAGGACAATGGTGGTATTTCATATAGCCCTGGAAATGAGTATGAATTAAACTTAAAATTCAGTTTGATCTTATTTTGTCTTCAAAGGGTTTGACGGGGTGGGGATAAAGGAGCAAAACCTAGGAACGGGAGAATCCAGGGAAGGGAAGGAAGGGGAAGGCTGGGAAGCTACTGGGAAATAGGCAGTCCAAAATCTGCCTTAGCTTTGGGAAAGGGAATTGAGGAGCAGGGCGGCGGGAGAGTATGGGGCCTGCCAGGATGAAATTAGGAATGAGCATCAGGTGGTCTCTTGCCAGGTTGGAATAAAAAAAAAAACGAAATGCTCGGAGTTTCAAGCAGACAGCTTGGAGTAGTGAAGAGCAAGACCCAGGGGAGTACCTGGAGGTGGAAACAAATTCAGGCACCAGCTGACCCATGGAAAGAACGCAGAGAAAGGTCAGGCGCCAGCTTTGACTCCTAAGGCACTGCCCCCCTCCACCCTCCTTCCCACAGGCCCTGACTACACAACAGGAATCAGCCTGAACACACTCCCAGAGATGAGCAAGGTCTGAACAAGCCTGAGACAGGGCCTCTGGGAGCCATCTGTCACCCACATGTTAGGGCTGAAGCTGCAAAGGAAGCAGTGGTTGGCATAACCGGGGAAGAGAACAGGTAGATATGTAGACTGTCCTAAATGGAAATTAAATTTAACTATCATCTAACTATATGGAGACTAGGGAAAAACTGCTCTGAAAACAAAAGATGCAACACCTGACATATCCATGTAATTTGTGGTTAAGAACACGGGTTCTAGAAGACGGCCTCGACCACATTGCGTAGCTACCACTCTGGGACTGTCTCCCTGTCCGTACAGTGTAAAGCAACAGCTGTCCCACCTCACTGGTCTGTCGTGAGAATTCAGTGAGATGATAAATGCAGAGTCCTCAACGCTACACTCATAACAGAGGTTGGAGAGGGTGCCTGGGTGGCTCGGTTGGTTAAGCGTCTGCCTCCGGCTCAAGTTGTGATCCCGGGGTCCTGGGATCGAGCCCCGCATCGGGCTCCCTGCTCAATGGGGAGCCTGCTTCTCCCTCTGCCTGTCTCATGAATAAATAAAATCTTAAAAAAAAAACAAAAACAAAGGCTGGAGAAACAGAACCTCCACTGTGGTGGGAGAGGAACTACATGCCACTTCTTACAAGGTAAGAAAGCAAAAGGCCTTGGTCGAGGAGGGCAACGCAGTGGTTCAAAGTTCAGCCTCGGGGATCAGGGTGACGACACTGTTCTATCACCAGAGGAAACCCAGGGCTGTGGAGAAACCTCTCTAAGCCTCAGTTTCCTTTACTGTCCAATGAGAATAAACAGAGCACTTCCATCTCAGGCTGGTTGTGGGCATGAAAAAAACCTAAGATATGCAAAATACAGGCAATTTATTCAGCATGTACGGATGAAGCACCTGCTGTATGCGGGCCTCTGTTCAAGGTGGGGGGATGCTGTGGTGAGTGACACATGGGACAGAGACAGGGAGGTCTCCGAGACTCATGTCACAAGGTCCCTGGGCTGACATTCTGGTAGGAGAGGCAAGCAACTGAAAAACAGAGCATTTAGTACAGGAGCAAAAGCCCTGGATGAAGTGCTCAGTTATCAGTCTGCACAGAAACACATTACCCACATGACCGAGTTTCTTTTCCAGAACGGAACAATGTCCAACCCACCCTGGAAACTTGTGCATTCAGAGTGAGCAGGCAGAGGACACCTACCTCATCTTTGGCCAAGGTTTTCAGGTGCTCCAGGATCTGAGCCATCACCGTCTCACACAGCTTATTGTTTTCAGCCAGAAACTTGGAGTCTCCCCCATACAGGCTGTCGTTGGAGTCAACTGATGGAACAGACCAGAGCAGTGAGCAAAGCGTGGTCTAGCCATACAAAGGAATATTATGCAATCATAAAAAGGAATGAATTTTTTTTTTTTTTAAGATTTTATTTATTTGACAGAGACACAGCAAGAGAGGGAGCACAAGCAGGGGAGTGGGAGAGGGAGAAGCAGGCTTCCCACGGAGCAGGGAGCCCGAGGTGGGGCTCGATCCCAGGACCCTGAGATCATGACCTGAGCCGAAGGCAGATGCTTAATGAGTGAGCCACCCAGGTGCCCCAAAAAGGAATGAAATTCTGATACGTGCTGAAATGTGGATGAATCTTGAAAGCTTTATGTAAGTGAAATATGCCAGACACAAAAGGACAAATACTGCATGATTCCTCTTCCACAGGACACTGGAACAGGCAGATTTGTAGGACTCAGAGTGGAGGTCACCACAGGCGGGGGCAGGGGGGCGGGGGTATGGGAAGTCACTGTCTATTGGGTACACTTCGTCGGAATGATTAAAAAATCTTGGAAATGGGTAGTGGTGATGGCTGCTCAACACTCATCATACTTGATGAAGGTGAATTATGCACTTAAAAACAGTTAAAATGGTAAACTTTATTTTATCACTATGTGTAGGTTATGAATTTTTAAAAAATGTAAAAAACCTTAGTACAAAAAGTCTGTATCTTTGACCTGGGGAAGCCATTAAGGTATTTATTTTTAAGAAAATAATCCAACAGGGGCGTCTGGGTGGCTCAGCTGGTTAAGCGTCCAATTCTTGGTTTTGGCTCAGATTGTGATCTCAGGGTTGAGACTGAGCCCTGCATCGGGCTCCATGCTCAGCAGGGGAGTCTGCCTGAGGATTTCTCTATGCCCCTCCCCTCACATGCACACTCTCTGTCAAATAAGTCTTTAAAAAAAAAAATCAGAAAAATAAATGCTCTGTTACAGTATTAAATACTTGGAGGATAATAAAAGTACATGATCTATAGTTATTAATTACCACATAGTACACTATATTATTATACTATTAATAACACATAATTATAAGATACTTAATTTTTAAAAAGTGACAAAAGTATCCATAGTAGAGCCCAGATGTGTACATCTATATTTCCTAATTTATAGCTGCTTAAGAATCAATTTTTTTAATTAAAAAAATTAAATTTCATAATTTCCTGTCATCAGTCTTGAACCTTCCGGAGAATGGGATGGGAATAAGCACACAGTAATTAATTAAGTAATTTCAGCTATGCCTTCTGTGCATTTCTAGTTGCTATTTCTAGAATAACAACTATTCTTCCCGCTTTTTATTTTGAAAACTGGCAAGGCTGCCGAAAAGTCGGGAAAACAGTGCATTGAATACATACCTGTGCTCTCCACGACACACACATACAGACACACAGACACATGACGGAGTTCTGTGGCTGAACCAGTTGTAAGCAGATTGCAGACACATTGCCTAAGAACAAGAACAACTGCTCCCCAGCAGTCTCCTTGCTCCCCAGCCTCTCTGTGCAAAGGCGATCTCTAATCCACTTCTGAACTGCCTGTGTATGGAGCTGCGTCTCAACTGCTATCCACCAGTCAGAGGAGGACAGCTGTTCTCTTAAAAGAATGTAAAAGATTGGGATTCTGGTAAAGGAATGTGATTCAGCCATTCACCACCACCTGAGTTTGCAGGGCGGCAGGAAGGAATTTCTCACGTCTACCGCTGAGGACCGGAATAGTTCCTGGCATAAATTCTCAGGCTCACTCCGGGTTGGAATCTACTCTCTTTCTGATGAGCTCAGCACTGGAAAAGAGAGAAGGTCTAAGACCACCCATGGCCAACACACCCCAGGCTTCCTCCCCAGAGGGGCCAGGGGTGTGTTCGGAGCAGGCTGCTCACTTGCACATGCACACACACACACGCACTCTCTCTTTCTCTGCACCTCCTGGATGAGGGCCTGTTCTGCACCAGGTTCCAGGCTAGGAGCTGGGGACCCAGTGGGGGCCAAGGCCGTCCCTGCCTCACAGACACTCAGAGACTGTAAGGAGATGCAGACCAGCAAAGAGGCAATCACAACAGCATGTACTGATTGTTAGAAGCAGGCAGTGCAAGGGGTTACGAGATCTTAAAATCTAGGCTTGGGATGGAACTCTGGAATTAGCAAGATCAGGCCAAGCTCTACAGATTAAATTCACGAGATGAAGTGCTCAAGGGGGAACGGGGGCGGGATGAGTTTTCCATGCTAACACTTGGTGGTGACGGAGGGAGGAAAGGGGAAACTTGAGAATTAGAAGGAAGTTGGTCAGACCAGTGTGTGCAGTGGCCCCTGCGAGTCCAGGCGCAGCTCTTCCGAGGGAGATAAATGACATCCCTGGCAAGTGGCCACTAGGAATAGCCTACAGTCCCTGCACCTGTCTGGCCCTGGGATCATGACCCCCAACGCCTCAAGGGCCTGGCAGGTGGCGTGGAGCAGCCAAGGGGCTACAATGGCTTCACGGAGCCATCCTGGGTTGTGGTCTTCCAGCCACATCGACGCTATCTGCATATGAAGTAAACATTCAGTAGGCCGGCATCCTCCCCTTCCCTGTCGAACACGCCCTCTCTCTCACAGGCTCGGGTGAACGCGCTGGGGTTCTTGCTCCAGGTGATTTCACAATGCCATCTTATTAATCGAGAAAGAAAGCAGCAGAGGCATCCTTTGGAAATGCAAAAAAGTTGTGACCCGAGTTCTTCAGAAGTTCTAACCTGTGTCAACACTACAAGGCTGCCTAGAATAAGAAAGGGATGGGAAGGCAAAGCCTCCTTCGGGCCCCCTGGGCCTCTCTCCTACCAGGACAATTGTCAGGTCACAATTATGCATCCACGGTAAACACAGCTGGGCCAAAAAAAAAAGGGAAAAAAACCCACCCATCCTTCCGCTTTCTCCTCTAAAAGCTAGAAATGTAAAAGCCAGGCTCCTGCCTATCAAACCTCGCCACGCTCCCTTTGCTAGCACTCTGGCCCCCAGTCTGTCGTGGCTGTGGTAAGTTTAGAGGGTTAAATGAATCTGCTCCAGAAGAGGGAGGAGAGGGCTTGCCCCTCTCACAGGGCCTGAGGTGTGCAGACCCACTTCCACGTCAGTGCCTGGTCCTCAGAAGTCTCTCCATAGTTGCAAGCCCTCAATGTGCACTTGGCAAAAAAGGAAATAAAAATGCCAACAAATAAAGGAAAAGGTGCTCAATCTCATTAGTCATCAGAGAAATGCAAATTACACTCATCAGAAGAGCCAAAATGAAAAAGACTGACCACAGGGAGGGAACAAAGGGAACCCTCATTCATGCCTGGTGGGGGTGTCAATGGGTACAACCATTTTGGAAGACTGTGAGACAGTGTCTACCAAAGCTGAACATAAGCAAGTCCCATGAGCCGGCAACTCCACCTGTAGGCACAGAGCCAACAGAAATGTACACCAAGAACATGTCCAAGAATGTTCACGGCCAGAACCAGAACCACTGGAAACATGCAAATGTTCATCCATCAGGGAATGAATGAATTCTGGTACGGTCACGCCACGGAATACGATTCGGCAATGCAAAAGGAGGAACTCAGCTACGCACAACACGGACAGAGCTCACACACAGAATACTGAGTAAAAGAAGCCAGACACCAAAGTATGCATGCTAAATTTCATTCACATAAAAGTGAAAACTGTATAAACTAACGTGCGATGCTGTAAGTCGGGAGAGTGGTGAACCGTGGAGAGGAAAGGGGTGGTGCTCACTGGAAGGGGGCACGATCTGGGTGGGGGTTACCTGGGTGTGTTCACTGTGTGATGAGTCACTGAGCTTTACAGCTGATGGCATGTATACATGTAGCATGTTATGCTTTAATTAAAACACTGTTGTTTTGTAATTGAGGAGGGAGCGTGACGCATGCCGCACAGTTCTGGGTGTAAATTCCACTTCCGTCACTAACCGGCTACAGGACCTTGAGTCTCCCCTTGCTGGAATGGAAAGTGGGGACACCCATGCTTGTCGTACACTCTGCAGTGCTGTAAGGAGTACAGGAGGAAGATCCGCGGAGTCTGGTGTGCTACCCGGCATGCAGTAGGAGCTCAAGTCGTGGGAGCTGTCATCCTTGACATCAAGCAGCCTCCCTAAGTTACATCTTAACGATTAGCCCCCAAATCCCAGCTAGAGGAAGCCTCTGAGAGTCATAGGGGAAGGCCCTCCTGCGAATTTGCTTCCTGAAATTTCCAAGTGTATAGAGACAGTTGCTTAAACCCTCAAGTATGTCATTACTGGCCAAAGCACTTTTAACAATAGGGCCATGTTCTGGGAAACCAATCACTGGAACTGAGGGTCTGATAAGCAGGCAGATGCCTGGGCTCTGCAGGCAGAGGTCTGGAATTGGGACTGTCCTGTGTGTCCAGGATATGAGAAGTCCGCTTTCAAATTTCTAGCAGCAAATTCAAAATGGCTGGTAGCACATGGGGGAGCAAGGCCACCTCCTTCCTTCTGAGCATCTGAACTAGGGGTTCACGGAATCTCAGCATCACTTGAAGAACTGGGTAAAGTCCCACCTGAGACTGGGGTTAGGGGCAGGCCCCGGATGAAGCTCAGGCATGTATATATTTAACCACCTTTCTAGGTTATTCGTAGTGCACCAAAGAGAGCACAGATCCAAAAGAGTGCTTCTCTAAACTTGTCTGACTGTTGAAAGGATTTTGGATGTTTGTTCTAGACAAAATTCTCAGGCCCCTTCTTGAGGATCCTAATTAAGAAGGGATGGGATGGGGCTTAGGAACCTGCTCAGGAAATTCTTATTTGGGCACATTTAGCAAGGCCCTGGAGTAGAAGTTCCTGGTGGGTAAAAAACTAGATTAAGTAAAAGAAAACAAAAAAACGTCACTGGACTTTCATGAACTTCAAGCTCGGAGCAGTATGGGAAGAGGGCACCCCGCTACCTTTGTCTATGTGGTAGAGGTAGTTCTCCTGGCTCATGGCGGAGAGGAGGTGCAGGACGCAGGTGTAGATGCGGATTTTATCGTCACTGCTGTCCTCCCAGGTGTAGTCCTGGATCACGTTGAGAAGCTCTCGAACAAGAAACAGGACCCCATGTTCGGGATGATCCTAGTGAAAAGCCAAAACAGGAGAGAGAATCCTAGATATGAGGCAGCGGGGGCGGGGGGCGGAAATCCCCAAAACCATGAAGACAGAAGCCCAGGTCCCTCCCGTTCGCAGCTGTGGAGGACTTACAGTGCCGGCCACTTCCCGGAGGCAAGGCCACTCATGAGCCTGGTTCAGTAACACCGAGAAAACAGAGACTGTTGTTAACCCCACTGATGAGCACGCTCCACTCTGGGGAGACAAGCCCCGAGAGCCTCCTTGGATCCAAGGAATCAAGGAGGCCAAGTTACCTGTCAGCTTAATAGCCTGTTTTCCAAAATTACAGTCTTGTTCTCCCATGTGTGTAGCAGTAAAAAGCCCTGTTCCTTGGACTACAAAAGCAAGACTGCGGGTCTCGCAGCAGATGCAACAGCGGAAGCCACCTACTCTGGGTAACCCCCCCCCCCAAAAATGATCACTGTCACCACCAAAGGCACCAGCTTTATATATAGCATTGCTCTTTAGGGCGTTCAGTGACATTAACAGCTAAATTGAGGATGCTCTCTTGGGAAAGGAAAAACCCAAGAGACACTCAGAGTTTAGAATGGTGTTTCTCAGATGCTGAAATGAACCGAAAGAGGGTTCCGGACGGCACAAAGCTGGCCACTGGCTTCCCTTCCGACACGCTACCTGGGATTCTGGGGCTCTCCTCCTGAACACACCCCCCCCAGACCTCTACCGCCAGGGGTGAGTGCCCGGGCCCTGCCACCACTGCCTCGCTGACCTGGTAGCCACACCTTTATGGCCCCTGGGACCAGCTGGACCCCCCACAGTCCTGCCAGGCCACCGTGGCCTTGGTAGAAGAACAAGGCCATTGCCAAACCACGGCCCAGTGAGCATGAGGGTATTTTATAAATACCCCAAACTTGGTCTGCTCCTGCCTTCCAGTCTGCGGCCGGTCCCTGCCCCTGGCTGAAACGAGTTGGAGAGAAGGAAGCACGCCCGGGTGACGCAGTCCCCGGGGGCCAGTCTCCCACACCGATCTCGATGGCAGGGCAGAGGAGCAGCCCGTGTGCCAAGGAGGTCTGGCCTCCCGGCCCTACTGTTCCCTCGGACTGAAATCTTCATCTGCAAGACCTGGCCAGACCCGCTCCTCGATGGTCTCTAGATCCCATCTTTCGTGTGGGCTCCTCATTGAGGCCTTCCCTGGTCATCCATCCAGAGCCTAGCACACACCTTCCCCCAGTCTCCGTCACAAATCGTCCTTATTTTTTCAGAGCAGTTCTGAAGTGACTTATTTATTCCTTCTGGGAATACCTCTGACGGCATCTCTTGGTTTACGTTTTTCTTTCATCCTAGCCTCCGACCCCCGGGAGGACAGGTACTTCAGCTGTCGTAGTTGCCGATTCACAGCCAGGGCTGCCAAGGGAACACGATGTGATCGGTGCCCCGTCCCTGTCCCTGGCTCTGGGGCAGTGCCGGGCACAGGGCAAGGACTCAGTAAATAGTGCCGAATGTATCACAGCCGGAACGCCTTCTCCGTGCCAGGCGCTCAGGTGGCTACGAAGACAAGTAACAGTCGCTAACGTTCATGGTCACCACGGTAGCTTTTCTGCGTTCCAGAAAGATACTGTTATGACCAGTCCCTAATTTCACAGATGGCAGATGAGCCCCGGAGAGGTCAGCGGGCCCCGTGTCACACGGCTGGCCCACGGAGGAACCCGGGCTCAAGCAGAGACTCCTACCGTGCCACTCTCTGAGCTGATGGAGCCGGCTAACGGGGGGAAGCCACATCCGTACGCCAGCCACTGTGGACACCTGCACGGAGGATGACAAGTGCTGGGACCAGGATGGGTGGGAAATGACCCGCAGTACACTTTCAACCGGGAGGAGGAGGGTGGAGGGGTGTGAGAAGTTTGGTACAGCTGTTAACATCTACAGGAATCGTGCCTGGGTATCAGCAAGAGAGGACGCATGATGCCTCGAGGCTGAGCGCCTCAGACTACAGTGATCAAAATTGCTCTCGCTGTGGTCTGCCTTGCATCTAGAGTCGCGCTCAGCTGGCAACTCACTACTGTCTCTCTCTGCAAACAGCTGTTTCTGACTGGGCTATTTTGTTCTGCTGTGTGGATGTTCAAAAATATTTTTTATTTAAGGACCTGCCTTGGGAAGAAACAACAATCTGAATGTTCCAGTAACAATTTCATCCCCGCTGTTGTAACTGCGGTGGGAGCCCATTCAGCACACCTCCACCGAGGGGGACAAGGGGTCATGGAGACAGAAAGGTTTGCAGTAAGCCATTTCCGTGAGCTTTTTGCTCATAACTGAAGAGACGAGACTATTTCCAACCTTCTGCACCAGGAAAAAGTTTTCCATAGGATATCCATGCTTCAGTGGTCGTAACATTTTTTTTTTTTTAATTGTACTTTGATGCTTCAGTGCCAGCAACCGAAGCAAGGCAAGTAAACACAGATTTAAAAGAAGAAGATGAGAAAGGGGCGCCTGGGTGGCTCAGTTAAGCATCTGACTCTTGATTTCGGCTCAGGTCATGATCTCCGGGTCCTGGGATGGAGCCCTGTGTCCTGCTCCGCACTCAGTGGGAAATCTGTTTCAGGATTTTCTCTTCCTCTGCCCCTCCCCCCCTCCCTAAAATAAATAAATCTTTAAAAACAAAATTAGAAGAACAAAAGGTCCTGGATTCAGCTGGCAATGCAAGCAGAGCAAGGTGCCCTCCCCCCACCCCCCGCCGGCGTCCCTGCCGAGGCTGCCTCCCTGACAGAGCAAACCAGTGCTTATGAGGCAGCTCCCAATCAACCCTCTCTCTCTCTCAGCTAGACAGACAGGGGACCTGGCTTCCACTATTTGCAATATCCCTTTGGGTCCCTGGTTCTGGTCTGCAGGAATCCCTGTATTAAATGCCATTCCTTGGCAGAGGCAGGAATACCCTGGAAATGACTGACTTTCCAGGAGCGCGAAGATCAGAGGCGGCAAAGATGCACTGAGCACAGACATCCTGGCTTTGAGTCTGCTCTTGGCCGCTTACGAGCTGGTGACCCTGGGGAAGTCACTTCACCTCTCTGTGCCAATGAGAGCAACAGGCTTGTTTGTGGAGCATTTGTGAACTGCTGGCTGGCTTACTGGAAGGGGTATGTAAGTGTTGGTGATAAATAATAAAGTCCTTCAGAAAAGGAGCCAGAACATGGGGCAGGATGGGGCATGGCGCTGGGAGGAGCAGGGCAGGAAAGCAGGGGGAGTGAAGCGGGAAGGCAGGGGACAGAGCGGCACGGGGATGCGAGGCTGTCGGGAACCAGCTCACGGTCTGGGGAGCTACATGGCTCTGCAGGAGCCCACCCCTGCCTGTCTGACCGGCTCACGTCCCCAGCGTCCCTCAGCACCACCACAGACGACTCACCGAGGCTCTCTTCTGGTCCCTCCAATGTAGGGTGTGCCTTCCCACCTGAGGGCCTTTACCCATGCTGCCCCCTCTGCCCAGGATGCCCTCTCCTGTCCCCCCGAGGCCCTTCATTACTAGTCATCCTGTGGATCTCAGCTCTAGCAGCACATTCTTGGGAAACTTCCCTGACCCACTTCCCTTCAAATCTGGGTTCTCAGAAGTCCCTGTATTTTTTTGTGGGGCTTTATACAACTGTAGTTTTAAGTGTGTATTTATTTGCTTAGTGTCTCTCTTCCTGAGTGGAGGACGCACTTCTCTGGTTCACTCCTCAATTCCCAGATCAGCAAGTATTTACGGAATAAACGGGCTGAATGAAGCTCAGCACTCAGACCCCATGTCATGCTCATGGCTGGACCTCTTCACAAGGATAAGGAGTAGAAAGTTCCCTGCTGTGTCCTAGGTGATCAGGGCCAGAAAACTGATAGTAGTAACATTTCCATTGCCTATAAAAGTCAACTGAATCAAAATTAGGCCTCTGAAGTGTTAACAATGAACCTATTCAATGAAGACTACGTGTCCTACCAAAATGTTAGGAGAAATGCATTAGCTCCGTTATATAGAGAAGTCTATCTGCAGCCCACCAAGAGGCTGACCGCGGTGAAGACCAAAGCAGAATGCTTCCAAATGCTTCCACGCCGTGCTGTTTGCCGGAGAGAGGGCTGGCCTGGGGGAATGTTTATTTCTGCATTTCTAAATATGAATAAAGTGAGCCAGGTAGTTTATTTAGTCTAAAATCACTTCAACTTTGTTCTCAACAAATAAAATGAATCAAGTCCTTTTAAAAGCCTTGTACACAGTTGGCAGGGATGTAAACTGATGCAGCCACTCTGGAGAACAGTATGGGGGTTCCTCAAACAATTAAAAATAGAGCTACCCTAAGATCCAGCAATGCCACCTCTGGGTATTTATCCAGAGAGTTGAAATCAGGACCTCAAAGAGATATTAGTACTCCCATGCTTAGTGCAGCGCTATTTGTCGTTGCTAAGGCTCAAGCTCGAGCAGGTAAGTGCATTGTAAATGTTTCAGGCTCAGATGGTGCAGCCAGGATCCGGAGCAGCAAAGATCTGGGTTCAAATTCTGACTTGGCTGCTCACTAGCTGTGCAGCCTCAGGCAAGCTGCACGGGCTCCCCAGCTCCGGGGTGCCCTAAGTGGACAAGGCACAGTGACTCCTCCCTTGCAGGGCCTGGGGGGAGGAGTCTTAGACACTGAATGATGAGGAAGGACTTCCCGGCACAGGGCAATGGATGAGCAGTCGCACTGGGGCTATTCTTCATCTCATTATCTTTACTAAACCCCAGCAAAAGCATGCACACTGATACCGGGAACAAGAAAATCTGCTGAGACCAGGAGGACATTCCCGTGGATGCCTAAGGGGCCAGTAGGCAACAGAAATGGGTTCAGTGGGTCCGGAGGTGCCCACGGGAACTGCAGAGAGGGCACATGCCCCCCCACCGCCCCTCAAAATGGGGCAGCTGCTCCCAAGCTGTGGCCAATTGGCCAGGTCGGAGAATGTGGGCCCCACATGGCGGGATCGGATTTTTCAAGAGGAGCCGAAAATCCAGGTTTTTCTGTGATCCAACAATTTTTAAATGCGGGTAATTCATTCCAAATGTTTTCCATCATTATGTGGCCAAAAGAGCCTGTTTACAGGCTGGATTCCACCCACTGGTCATCAGTGCGCAGCCCCAGGGACAGAGCTTCTGGGTCCCAAAGCACTTTCAGATCTGTTGTTTCATTCAGCCTTACGGCAGCCCTGCCAGGTGGGCATTCTGATGACATTTTAGAAAGGTGACAATTGAGGCTCCGAAGAGTTAGAAAACTTTCCCAAAGCCACAGTGCTGCTGAGTCACTGGGTCAGACTGCACTCAAGTTTCTGACTCCAAGCACAAGCCTTTTGTCAAGGCTCTAGTGATTTTTGACATGAAGAAAACCCCACGTGCAGAAGGAAAATGCATCCCAATTAACCAGTGAACAATGACATTAATCAGCTGGCTCCTTAGAAACTCTGATTCTTTTTGGTCCCCTCACTTGACAACTAGACTATCCAAAAAAGAGAAACTGATGATACAAAGGACTAAGAAAGTGATCTGAAAACACTGAAGTCCAGCATCCAGCTCCTGGCCACACCATCCTCCCTCTGGAGAACTTGGGATCTCAACTGGGACACTTGGAAACTGCATCATTTTTTGTCTCCTCAGCTCCTCCAAGAGACCATTCGAATGCCAAACAATTCACCCACACAAAATGCACACTTCATTGATAGTATATTCACAGAGATGTGCAACTGTCACCACAATCAATATTAGAACATTTGTGTCACCCCAGAAAGGAACCTTTACTCATGACAGCAGAGTTACTTCCTGTCAAAGTGTGGTCCTAGGACCGTTCACCCCTGACTTACTCAGGAGGCTTTCAAAAATGCTGACTCAGGGGCCAATCCCAAACTCGTGAGTGAGCCTCTCTGGAAGAAGGGTCCCAAGAATCTGTATTTTAATAAGGAGTCCTGATTCCTACAGACATTTGGCTCTACCAGGAGCCAATCTTGTTTTGTGCCTGGCCCTGTCACAGCCTGGTGAAGGCTATGGGCTCCTCAGAACACAATTTTTAATGCAGAAAATAAAATACATAAGACTACAAAGGAAACCAATTATGCTAAAATTTACTTGTCAAAGTATTTTTTCAATGTATTTGTCATATCGTGTTCTATTACTTCCTGGTGAATACATTTAATTAGCCATCTTCGGAAATATGTCACACCTGAAATGTGTTAAGAACATACGGCTGATTTCTTTGGTGACAAAGTCCCAGCTATGTCACTATTACTGTGGCCCGCTGCCTATAACTCACAGTGAAGCAAAGGGCTAAGTTTATTCACTGAGATTTGTAAAAATTAAGATTTTTTTTTCTCATCTAAATTCACGGTTGCCCCTGCCGGACCTTCAGGGAGTAGGGAGACCCCAAGTTAAGAACCCCTGCTAGATACTGAGGGTCCTGGCGCTTGGTCTGGAGAGTGGCCTTGATTCCTGCTAGCTCAAGCCTGACTGCTTGTCAGTATGTCCCACGAGAAATCCCAGCACGCTTCCAACAATGTCTCCTTTGACCTCAGCCACCTTGTTTTGGTTTCTAGTAGTTGCCACTGAAAGAATATCACCGTCACCTTTTACAGGGCTGAGTATGTGCCAACTGTTCTTATCACGTATGTATATTCACTCCCTTAACCCTCCCAACAATCCAGAGATAGAGACACTATTATTATTTCCATTTTATAGATGAGAAGACTGCAGCCCAGTCATGTGACATGATTGCCCGAGCCTGCAGAGCTGGAAGGAGGGGGAGCCAAGGTTCCACCCTAGACATCTCTGTCCCAAGACCTGAGCCCTTACCCAGTAAGTGGCACCCCCTTGACCGTATGGAGAACCTCAACTAAGACACCCAGGACACAAAATGAATGGAAAATACATTGAGTAATTTAGGGGCACCTGGTTGGCTTGGTCAACAGAGCATGTGGGATCTTGGGATCATGGGTTCGAGCCCTGTGTTGGGGGAAGAGATTACTTAATAAATAATAGTTAAAAAAAAAAAGAAAAGAAAAGAAGATACATTGAGTAATTTAAACATCTGACTAGAAAACCAACACACAGATACAGATAGGACGTCCCTGCACTTTTAGGGCTAAGAATGTATATAAAGCAGATCAAAGAAGGACATCACCTATAGCTCTTCCGGCAAAACGTACCGGAACTATTAATAAAGTAGAAAAGAAATTGCAGAGGAATTCCAGAAGGAATGATTCCGACGGTCGCATCTTTCCATCGATATTAATCATCTTTGGAACTTCTGGAATGAGGCTTATAGCGGCTTTGAAAAAGGCATCAGCTGCAAGACAGAAGAAAAGTCTGTGTATGAGAACTCCGAAAAATTCAGGTTCTGCTTTGTTCTTCATTGGGCCTGCAGGCCCATCCTGAGAGTTCTGTGGAAGTCAGGCCACGTTGAGGGCCCCATAAAGCGGGCAGGTCCTACAAGAGGGTTTCTGCAACCTTAACCAACTGGTGGAACATTCAGTTGAGAGGGCACTGCTGCTACCTTCCATCTCCCCCTCTCTCCCTCCTTCCTTCACTGAGCAACTCAGCTCAAAGAACCGCAAATTGGCTTTAAGAATTAAGTGAAATAGGCAAGTGGCAAATTTTTACAGAAAGCCAAGAAATCACAGCTGTGGGGACTGAGGGCTCAACCTGGACTGGTTCCCGGAACCCTCCAGTGCCCCGCATGTGGAAGCACAGTCACCGGGCCCACTTCACAGACGGGAACCAAGGTGTGGAAGGACGAGTGGTCCTGCGTCAGGGTCCTGGGTACACTGAGGCAGAGTGGGGCGCAAACTCTGGTCTGTCTGCGTCTACCCTAGTGCACCCTGGATTTGTTAAAGAAATAACTGAGACATCTGAAGGAATCCACACACATGCCTGCACGTGCACACACACATGCACACACATGCATACATGCACACACGTACATACGTGCACAGATGCACATGCATACGCGCACATGCACATACATGAACACGCGCGCATAAGGCATGCATACACAGATACATGCGCACACGCACATACGTGCATACGCACATGCGTGCACGCACGCATACACAGCTTTAGAGACTTCTGACTAGGTGATCATTCCAGAGAATCGCTTGGGAAATGAAGATATTTTTAAAACTATTTAGTATTCTGTAAAACAAGAAGACCTCAAAGGGTGAGAGAAAGCAAGGCAAGGGGAGAGGAAGAGGAAGAGGAAGAGGGGGATGGAAAGAGGAAGAGCTGGGTGGGAGGCAGCAATGGGAGAACAGAGACAGGAAGGAATGGATGGGGAGAGGAGGAAGGACTGGAGGTGGGGGCTGAGAGGGAGACAGAGTTCTTTCTAGAACTGCCAAAGCATTCACCACGAGAAAAAGCCTCAAGGTCAAAACAGACAAAACACTGACCTGACAAGTGAAATCTTAAACTACCCAAGAAGATCAAACGTTTGCATGGTCCAAATAAGTACACTTCCACTCCGGAACGACTCCCAGTGATGCGGAGAGGACACGGCACTGGCACACGGCATCCTGAACCCCCGCCGAAACCCCACCCAGCACCCCAGAGGGGCACATGCAACAACAAAGGCCTGCACTTAATGAGAAAAGTGTGCGGCTGCAGCTGTGGGGGGGAGGGTTGCCTTCTCTTCCTTCTTCAAAGCAAGAAAAAAAAGACAACAAAAACCACGTTAAGGAAAGGCAGCTCTCAGAGCTTTCCAGAAACTCCCTTCCCAGGCTGTCTCTCCCAAACTGAACTCACAACCCTACCACATTCCCCAAGCGGTGAACAGGCACCGCGAGCACACAGAGAAAAGGAGGCGAGAGTCGACATCGGTGTGAGACCAACGTGATCACACAACTTAACACCTACTTTCTCAGAGCCTGTTGTGTCCTTTGGTCTGGGGGGGGTGGGTGGTGGGGGACACAAAGCAGCTGATGTCAATCTTGTCGGACAGAAAGAGACTAGATACAGGGCCTCTGGGAAAAGACACCTGATGCGGACTCTGGTAGACAGAGGAGGGGGCTGCAGGGTCTCCTGTCTCAGGCTACAGACAGTAGTAAAAGGCAGCGTTGGAGGGAACCATGGAGACTCCCAGGCCCTGTCGTAGTCTGTATTCTTAGTCCTCGGCAGTCCTGTGGGGAAGGCACAATGGTTTCCATGCCCACATAAGGAAATAGGCTCAGAAAGTGAGTGGCCAAGTTAAAGTAGCCCAGGGAGGGTCAAGGCCATCGCCCGCTCTAAGCAATGCAATCAAATCTGCACTAAAAAAAAATCAACCTGCAACTCCTAGATCTGATAAGGGGTTTATATCTAGAATATATGAAGACATTCTCCAGCAAGAGCAAAACAGGTAACCTGATCAACAACGGGCAAAGGACCTGAATAGACATTTCTCCGAAGAAAACACACAAATGGTCAACAAGCCCATGAACGGATGCCCAACGTCAATAATCATTAGAAACATGCAAATCAAATCCACAGTGAGATTTCATCCCTGGGAGATAACATCAGGATAGGCACCACTGAAAATCAGTGACTAGCAGGCGTTGGCAAAGATGTTGAGAAACTGGAAAGCTGGTGCACCGCGGGTGGGGACGTGAAACCGCTCAGCAGATGTAGGAACTGGTTTGGTGGCCGCTCAGAAAGTGACACACGGACCTACCACCTGACCCCGCAGCTCCACTTCCAGGAGTACCTTCCAAAGAAATTAAGGCAGGGACTCAAACAGGTACGTGTGCAAGAGTGTGTGTGGAAGCACAGGTCACAAGAGCCAAACGGCGACAACAACCCGGGCATCCGTCAGCAGAGGAACAGATAAGCAAAATGCAAAACATCCACACCATGGGATAGCCTGAGAAGGAAGGAAATTCTAACACGTGCCCCAACATGCACGCACCCTGAAAACACCATGCTAAGAAAATAGATCAGACAAGAGGACAAATGCATAGGATTTCGCTTTCATGAGGCAGAGGAGTCGAATTCGTAGAGCAGAGAGCTGACGGGGAGCGGGGAATAGTTACTGTTTTCAGGGCTGTGCTTTTCATTCAGTCTGGGATGAGGAAAATGTTCTGGAAATGGACAGGGGTGAGGGGGTTGCACGGCATTGTGAATGCACCTAAAGCCAGTGAACTGCACACTGAAAAATGTTTACAGTGATACGTTGCATGTCACTGATACGTAACCACACTACACGATAAAGAAACAGAGCTGAGTTCACCACTGACATTACCCCCCTTTAAGCTCAGGCAGGCCTGGGCCCCACCAGGTCTGGCTGTCTTCCTTCTGCGGGAAAAGCTCTCTGTCCCCATGGCTCTATAGGAATTGCTTTCTGGTGAAAACATTAAGTCCATAATGGACAAGGTGAAGAGCCTCTCTCAGCGGAATCCAAAACTCTGCTCAGAACAACGTGAAAGACCATTTATTTATTCTATTTATGTGTTTGTTACCAAGTGGCCCCAAGAAAAGTGCCTATTATTATGCCTCATTAAAGAGGGAGCAGCTTTGTGCCCAGCTCTCTGTTCCTCACAAATGCCCCACTCAGTTCCCATTCCAAAGGAGAGAGCTAAAATAAACAGTTATTTAGGGGTTGGGGCAGGCAATGTTCCAGTGTTCCAAAGCAGATTTTTATTTCTATCCTCAGAAGACTTACTCCATATATAAAATCTTATCTAGGATACTTCTCAATTTCGACTTTGTAATTAGGGCTCAAATCCTACTGTATACGAAAACAGTTTTTCCTCATGGAGTTTGGAATAATCTCATCAATACCATAGAACACTTTTGTGGCTATTAAAGAGAGAGAGAGAGAGCACACACATCTCCAGCAGACTCCCCGCTGAGTGCAGATCTCAGGATCCGAGCCAAAATCAAGAGTCAGATCCTTAACCAACTGAGCCACCCGGGCACCCCTTGTTTTGTTTTAAAGACCTACAGAAAAAGGAGAAATCAGATTGCCATCCACAAAGACTATTATTCCTGTTTCACAGGGGGAAGGAAAAAGCAGGTATATGTACCAGCTTCCCTATGCTGTATCTTTTTCTACCTGAATCTTCTGAGGTTTCATGGAACAACGAGGCTTCTTTTTCACAACCCACTTAAAAAAGAAAAGAAAAGAAAACCAAAAATACCACTGAGGCCCAGCTGGCCCCACCCTAGAGATCGTTCTGACGTGTCCTTCAGTGCTGCCGGCTACTGGCCGAGGGCAGACACAGCCAGCATCCCTGCTCCCAGGAAGAGAGACCAAGCTCCTCTCAGAGCCAGTTTTCCAAAACTGCTTTATCACAAGAATCATCAGAAGCCTTGCCAAAAAAAGCAGGTTCCCAGGCTCAATATCGCCGATGGGAATGTATCACGGTAGAGCCGCTTTGCAGGACCCGGCAGCTCCTCTGAACGTACGTACAGGCTCCGATATGGGTGAACCTTGAAATCGTGATGCTAAATGAAAGGAGTCGATCATAAAAGATCTGTATTGTAAGACTGCATTTTTACACGAAATAGTAAGAATAGGCAGATCCAGAGAAACAAAAAGTAGATGGGTACCTGCCTGGAGCTTGGGAGAGGGGAACAGGGACTGACTACTTAATGGATCAGGGACTGCCTTTCGGGGTGATGAAAATGTTCTGGAATTAGTGACGACAGTTGCGCAACTCTGTGAATGCCCTAAAGCCCACTGAATTGTACGCTTAGGAGAAGGATGGATTTTATGATACATGAATCAATCAGATCTCACTAAGCTGTCGTTGAAAAAATATCTATGAATTCCCAGGTGCCACCTTAAATGTACGAACCACGCTATCCAAATAGAAGCTTGGAAATCTAACTTAAAAAAAAAAAAAAAGCTTTGAATAGGTACTAGAGCTACAGGAGTCAAAATTCCAAAGGCAACACTCCTTCTCACTCCCATTCCCTGCCATCCAGCTACCCTTCCCTGAGGCAAAGCATATTATCTGCTGCTTGACACCATTCCGCAACTCCCTTCACCCCCACCTCACACTTAACAATAGGTCTTCAAGATGATTCCATCACTGGGGCACCTGGCTCAGTCTGTTAAGCATCCGACTCTTGATTTCCACTCAGGCCATGATCTCAGGGTCGTGGGATCAAGCCCCAACATCAGCTCTGTGCTCAATGCAGAGTCTGTTTGTCCCTCTCCCTCTGCTCCTCCTCTCTCTCTCACAAAATCTTAAAAAAAAAAAAAAAAGATCATTCCATCATTGCGCATAAAGTACACCATCTTTTTCTCATAGCTACTAAGTGAAATCTGGTCCATTTGCTTTTTCTTCTCTTTGTGTGTGTGTGGGGGGGGCACAAAATACATATCACATAAAATTTACCACCTTCATCACTTAGTCCATTTGTTTCTTTAAACAAGCTTCTCTAGTGAGTTTTGGAATTCAAGAGGTTTGCAAGAAACTGTTCTAAATTATTCGGATAAATGCAGAATATGACTTCCCCGTCGGGACTGGTGCACCCTGAAAGGTTTCACCTGGAGACACTCGGCCAGAAGCACACACAAGTAGTCAGCAGCAAGGAAGCTCAGCCAGAGCTCAGCCTTGTCACTTCATAGATACAGTAAGGGCCAGGGAAGCTTGCAAAAACAATTATCACAGGATTTTTGATAATTTTCTGAGATTTCATGCTCTCCTACTTCCCAGTCTGGGCAGTTTCAAAGGGTCTGCAGAACACCAAAGGAGAATATTCCAGAGGCCTCTGCAAGGACACGGAGAAGTCACACACACCCAAAACATAAAGCCACCAAAAGGAGAGAATGGTCAAGAAAAGAGGTCACTCGCAAACCCTGGGAGAAGGTGAGATGTGAACAGAAGCTGAAATGAGGGCTTAGTTGAAGATACTAGGCGAGCTGTGTTTGGATTATCCATGCTGCCTACTCGCTCCTCTCTGAGGACAAAGGTATCTTTGTATCAACTCCAAGCTCAGCTGAACAAACAACCCAGCTATAAGGGACGAGTTAAAACCGTTGCACTGTCATACCGTGGAAATGATGCAGCTAATAAAGAGAAGGAGGTACATCTGTATGTTTGGATGTACAAAGATGTCTGTGATGTACTAAGCACAAAATGATACATACCTGCGTATAGCATGAGCCTGTCTTTGTAAGAAGAAAGCGTATGTGCTTATGGAGATGCGTAGAAAAAGTGAGACAATATAAGGCCAAAGTAGTGTGGTATCAGAGTGGTGGCTGAGGGTGAAGGAAACTAGGATCTTCCACTTCCTGCTAAGTTACTGTTTGGGAATTTTCATTCAAATCTCTAAAAATTATTTCTCTTGAGCCCACAAAGGCAATACAAGTTTGTTATAACATTTTCAACCCTAGGAGTGTTCGAAACAGAAAGTGAGGCAAGGAGGTAGACAGGCAGATGGTCAAAGGGGTATCTGAAGAGTTCCCCTTCCTTCTTTCCCAGAGGCGGGGCACCCGCTGCTGTGGGCCTTAGCACTCCTGCTGCTCGAAGGGACATCACCCTCCTTGGGTGCAAAAACGAGGCACGAAGGGTGGTGCACACCTC